TATCTGGTCTGGTGCCCCTGCTGTTCAAAGAATATTGTAGAATGTAATTGATCCTGACCAGTCCTCTCAGCTTCAGTTACTTTCATACCGATGTGACGTGGCTTCCTTTTTTTCAATGGCAACTGCTCTGGTGTCCTTTTTCCGAGTGTTCTGACTACATGAATTTAAGTTTGCTACTAGATTTGCAACTAGGTCCCGCCGTTTTACTGTTAAAATAACTAAATGCAACCACCAATTCAACTCCAACAGTTTCTTTTCTCTCATTTCCCACCTGTAGAGCTCAATTACGTTTTCTTTCTTCCCTGTTTGGTTTGGTTTGGTTTGTTTTACGGTATATCAACATCAATGTGTTAATGCCGAAAAATTTTTATTGCTTGTAATATGTTTTTATCCAAAAATCTATTGCTGGTAATAGTTTTTTTCTTTCAAAAATCTCTTACTGCTAATACTTTAAAAAAAATGTATTACTGTTAATGTGTTTCTGATAATAATTTTTTACAAAAATATATTTTTAGCATTAAAGCCTATTTTTACACTTTCATAGCATTTTATCTCCAGTTTAAGTGTTAACTATTTGGCCATAGCTGGAAACGTAACAGGTGCTACCACCCCGAGTCAGGGTTGACGTGGGAACACAAGCAATTAAGAGGTGGTTCCACGCTCCTCAAAACCTCCTGATCAGAGGCCTTGCTGTGGTACGTAGTTTATCGTCTTACCCAGGACGTGGATGTAGTTTATCGTCGTACCCAGGACGGTTCTTCCCTAATAACTAAAATGTTGAAAAACTTTAAATGAAACGCTAAACGCTATCTTCTGTCTTCTTGAGCCCTGTTCATCTTTTTGTGCTATTCTCAGTCTTCTCATTTTCTTTCAATTCTCCTCCATGGAACTCTCTGCTTAATAGTGGCATTATCGTCTTCTTTGGAATGAAAGTTATCCCATATATCCCCCCCCGACTTTTAAGTCGTTATTTATCCCCTGTTTTCTGTTTAGGATTGGGTTTCCGGTTACTTCAACTCTGTATTTCTGGGGTCTCCGCCTAAAATCTAAAATTTGATTCTGTAACTATTAGTATTTTACTCCCCCACCTCAATAGGAGCAGATAGGTTTGACTCACGTGCTGCTCACACAACTCCCCTGTCCTGTATATCTTGTTTCCTGTTTAGGATTGCGTTTCCGATTCCTGCTAAACTCTATCCTCCTAACGTCTCCACCCGAACTCTGAAATTTTATTCGCTAATTAAATATTGATTCCTTCAAGTCTAGAATTAGCTGTCAATCTTTCCTTTTATTTTGCTCATAAAACTCCAAACAGTCACCTTCTACCTTGAGAGTCCTTTGGGCCTTGGATGAACATTAGGAAAAACTATATATATATATATATATATATATATATATATATATATATATATATATATATACTGCGTGCCAAGTTATTATCGAGATAACTTTTTAATAATATTTCAAAATCCGTTCAATCAATTCACACAAAATTTTCACAAAATGTTGGCAACTCTGACCTGCGCAATCACTGAAATTATCGTACTGATCTGCGCAATGTAAACCAACTGGCGCCATATTTGTTATCAGCACGGTGATTTGAACGTGCCAAATTATTAGAAAGGTTTAGTAAAATTCCCAGAATTGAGCAAACAAAACGTTTATTAATGTTGCACGTGAATGTTTATGATCAAAAGAAGCTAATAAATAAGATAATCAAACAAATAATAACAGATACAAACATAGGCACAGTTTTAAACAAATTAATAGGGAATGTGCTTTCCCTGTTTTGAAATTACTTGAAGAAGTCGACGATCCATAGAATTTGTTAATTAATTCTGCTGTAATGCCGCGAGATATGTCAAGAATTGCTTCCCACAACTCAGCGTTGCTCCTGAATTGTCGTCCGTTGGCGTACAATCTTCGCTTCATGATGCTCCAAAGGTTTTCGATTGGGTTCAAATCCGGAGAATTTGCTGGCCACTTCATTTTTCGAGGTCCGTCGAAGCCTAACTGTTTCAAATATTCAGTAGTCTTGTGAGCAGCATGTGAGGGAGCATTATCTTGCATAAAAAAACAATGGCCCTTCTGAAGGCAACCCTTTGCATTTGCATCCACGGTTCAAGATGCTCCTTCATAAACGCTATGTATGCATCAGCAGTCATTTCGATGCCATCGAGTACTCTCCATGGGCCCACTAATGTTTTTCCAATAATACCACCCCAGATCATTATGCCTCCACCGCCTTGTTGGCGTCTCAAACACTGATGGCGATTCTGTCCGTTCATTACCCAGCCTTTGCACCATCTATCTGGCCCATCAAGTGTTGCTCGAGTTTCGTCTGTGAACAAAACTTTAGAGAAGTCAATCTTAATATTGTCCTCAGCCCATTTCAATCGATTTTGAATGTGATTTCTCGTCAACGGAGGCTTCGATACACGTTTGACTGATGTTGCTATTTCCCTCAGATACCGACACAGAGTACTTTTAGACACAGTAGGATCCCCAATGCGACTGAAAAGCTCTTGACCGGTAAGTCCAGGGTTCTTCGTGGCCTCTTGTTTAAGTCGTGACATGAGACGACGTGAAATAACTCTCGGCTTTCCTTTATCTGCCCTTTTGCGTGTAGGGTCGGCGGTGAACTTTTTCACTGTTTGATGACACCTCCCTATCATTTTAGAAATTCCTAGGGTAGATTTACCTTTTGAGAGTTCTGAGGTGATAGTTTTCTTTTCAGCATTACTTAAACTGCTTTTACGGCCCATCTTTTCGATAAATTCTTACACTTTTCTAATAATTTGGTACGCTCAAATCACTGTGCTGATAACACAGATAGCACCAGTTTGTTTACATTGCGCAGATCAGTACGAAAATTTCTGTGATTGCGAGGGTCACTGTTGCCAACATTGTGTGAAAATTTCGTGTGAATTGATTGGATGGTTTTTGAAATATTACAAAAAATTTATCTCGATAACAATTTGGCACATAGTGTATATATATATTGTTTAAATGAGATGTGAATGAAATGCAAAAGAATGGGAAATCTCTAATCTAATATTGCATGAAAATGGCGCATGTATTCTACTGCTTAATGTCATTGGAAACCTTGTTAAATAAACTGATACTCTTCTTGTTTGGGGTGGATACCGCCCAAGACGACAAAAGCGATCGTACTTGATATCGACAGAAAATATTAAAAATGACTGGGGGAATTAAGCCAATAAAGAAAAATTAACATGTCGCCGACAGTGCAGTTTTCTGCTGAATATCCAGTCAAGATTTACGCCATGTCGACAAAAAAATATAATGCGTATGATTGAAGTTCCTGGGCCAAAGCGGTAGACGTGTGACATTTTTCTTTAGAAATTGAAAAATTATAGAAACTTTTCTGTCAGATTTTCCGGTGTTATTATTTAGAGCCTACCTAATGTCCGTATTTCTGTTGCTGCTGTTACAACGTTTCGACTATTGTGCCTTTCCAGCCTTCTTTAAGTATTTGCCTTTAGGAAATTTCGAACTGAATCTTCTATTTAATCTGCCGTGTTACATAGTTCTCATTCTGCTATCCATATTTAGGGTTCTCATTCTGCTATCCACATTTAGGATTCTCATTCTGCTATCCATATTTAGGGATGTTACCTTTTTCTTTCTTCTTTTTAGTTTCACGAGAAACAAGGTTTCCGGTAACTGAGATATGCATCGACGTGGACAGAGGAGGAAGAACAATCTACCACTGTAGATTGAATAAGGGTTCAGTTCTAAATTTTTTTAAAGATACCAGGATCAAATTACATCTGATGAAGGCCGGTGGTCACAATGGACTAAATGTAATGATAATTCCAACAAAGCTGAAAGCATTAGTACGAATAAGGTAAATAATACAGGAAAGTAGAATTTATGGCTTTATAACCAAAATAAAATCGATAAATCTGCTAAAAATGGTGGATAGCAATTACTTTAGATGATTCTTGGAGTTTTGCCACATCTTTATTTTTCAGAATATTTCTTCATTTTAAATGCTCAAACCAGAAAACATATGATTCAAGTAATTTCTTTTTTTTATCGCCTCATTCTCACTATCAGGAAATCACGGATCTGAGAAATCAATTTCAAAAATTGATATTTCAAATCTCCATTATGCTTTCAGATTAATTAACATTAGGATGAAATATTGTATTAATGAGGTTAACTAGGTTTGGCACAAGTCCACATGTATTCATTGATTGTAACTTTTCTGTTAATTTACCCATAAATATTAATTTATTCCAAAATAAAAAGAAGTTATATTTAGTAAAAATTCACCCAGAGTGACGCCCTTTTTTTTTTAACCTGGTTGGACGACTCCGGTGTTCTATTTCTAAATGTGGAGTCTACGTCCGCGCTCACGCCGATAAACAAACCAAAAACAGATTTGTGTTTCTTTTCTTTTTTCAAATTGCAAAAGATTCGTTATAAGAACCTCGAATGTCATATAAGAAATATTAATATGTCTCTGATTGTTGATAATTCTTCATTTTGGGGGTTGGAGTTGTTGCGAAGCAAGCTAAACAAATTTTGATTTAAAATTTGAAATTTCAAATGAGTGCCAAAAAGTTATTAAAAAAATACTTTCATTTAAAATTTATAATCGCAAAAGAATGCCAAAAATTTATTTAAAAAAAAACAAACTTTGATTTATAATTTCTTGGGTGAATTAATTTTAGCGATAAGTAACTTTACATTATTTGGGGTGAATTATCAGAAAAGACTCGATTGATTGATTCGTTTTCTACGGCTTATCAAACCATTACAGATTATTTTTTTTCAAATTTTAAGATTTTTTTTAGATAATAATGGTTTTTATTTTTCTTACTAATTAACTGACGGAGAAGTTGTAGATCCATACTTTTCAAAAGGGTATTTGCGCGTAAGTGAATATAATAAAACCAACGGGAAATGGAACTAGGTTCTTTGATTGACAATTCTTTGCTATTATCCGCTAGACCACCTGCACATCTAAGCTTACATCACCTGATATTCGCAAGTGGTCACCCATCCAAGTACTGACCAACCACTACGTTGCTTAACTTCGGTTATCGTATGGGGGGGGGAAGTATGAAGCATCAAGTGAATGATGAAATATTGTTAATAAGTTTGTAATGATAACGGATATTTGAGAAAGTGTTAAAGTTGGAGTAAAATTTGTAGAAAAAATGTGAAGAATTTATTTCTTATGTCACTACATCGGAGAATAATAATGATAGAAAGAGAAAGTGAATATAGTTTGATAATTAAAAAGAATGTGAAAAAAATAAATTACATAGAAAAAATAAGGGAAACAAATAAAACCTGAGAGTTTTCATCTTCATGACGGTCATGGTTCTCCACAGTTGCCTATCTTTTGTATCGCTTAATAATTTTTTTTTTTCGTTATCTCTTAAAACTTGTTCTGGCATTCATTTACTCAAGTTCACTAGGTAGGTTGCGCATTGGTTTCTTTTGTACCTCTTGCCTTTAATCTGTCCAGAGAGTATCATTTTGTCCAATCCCTCTTTCCTCATTATGTGGCCTAGAAATTTCAACTGTTTCTGATACTTCCATTTGTTTCCATTTTCTCTAAAACTTTCACATGTTCGGTCCATTGTATCTTCAGCATCATTAGGTAGAACAAACTTTTTGTTGCGACAAGTCCCTTCTTCATCCGTATAAAAGGACCAGAAATATTAAAACCTAAACTGAAATCAGCACTATCTAAATTAAACAGAAACATGAGAGTAGTGTCCACAAATAGAGGAGGATTATAAAGAGACAGTAAACAACTAGAAAAATAAAAGACGTGTGACATCCCGAGCTGTACTAAAAGTAACGAGAGATTGAACGACTTCCCAGATATGATATATGTAATATGACTTTTACGAGTACTGAAACGTTTTTTGGTTTGTTTGTTTCTTTTTTTTTTCAACAAATATAATACTTAAAACACAAAGTATTCTTTGTCCGAGAAACAGTTTAACAAGAGTGCTGACACATAACCAGACAAAAGCTTTATATTTTCTCAACTCTCTGCTCAGATTTTAACATTGGATAATAGAACGAGAGAAAAAGATATAATGTGAGGGCGGGGTGAAAGCGTGAGAGGGTAAAAACAGATGACTTATGTAAGCTGTTAGTGCGGGAGGAGACGTGAGATTGCTCCGACTTGACCTTGTCTGACATTTATAGTTAACGACGTGGAATCGCGTAGAAAAGAGGGACGGAGGTCGGTTTACGGTGAAGAAGGTATAACAAAAACGAATCAAACAGGCACAAATAAAATATATTTAATTGTTCAGCATGGAAATGGAAGGTAGACTGCTGAAAATTGTTAACTGTTTTTAAACTTCCCATTCTCACTAACCACTGATAAAATATCAGTATAAACTTTAAAATCCTTCATGCTATTATCAACAACTTTGCGATAGTCTCCGGCGATATGGATATTAGATTATGACCATGGGTGATATTGCTGATGCTGAGGTTTAAAGATTAAAAACCTACAATTATAGGTATTTTAGTAGTTACTGCTATAGACTGTGTGATATCTAGTCTCCCCATATCTTCAATATATTTCTTATTATTCTCGAAGACTGAAGAACTGTCGTATTGACTGAAAATCGCGGAAAGATCGAAACGAATTAACAGACTTATGATTTTAGCGTTACTGACACGTTTCAAACATAGACCCTCAATGGTCGGATTGGCAAGAGTCTAGATCACCATCATCATAATCATCAGTTCTTTGAACGGGTGTGGCTTGCTGCGTAACCGATCAGTTCCCTACACGTATCTGTGTTGAAAGCCGAACAGTTATTGATTCATGAGTAGTGAGTTTTGGGCAATTATAGCAACTGTAGGTGTTTCCTCACCAGGTCAAACCACAGCCGCTGTTCTCCAAGTTAAACAGACACTATAATCACAGACATGTAGCCGTAAATTACTTCACGGTAAAATGCAACCCTGACAGTAGTCCAAGGGAAGCAGTAGTGCTCATATTCTTTGTCTATGTGCGGTATCGATACAGGGATCAGAGCTCTCCACTATTTCCTTTCATTGTAGTACTTATTACAATTTATCTTTCTCTTATATTCACTATACCATTGCCTTCAGTTTCCTATATCTTCTTCATTCAAACTCTTTAAGAAGTATATGCATTATTTTCCTCTGTGCCCTTTTCCTTCAATCTCCTAAAGCTTCTTCCATCATCCATTTATTCAAGCTCTCTATGTAATTTATGTATTGTTTCTCCGTGCCTATTGCCTTCAATTTCCTAAATTTCATCTGCCATCTATTTATTCAAGCTTTCTACGTCGTTTATGCACTATTTTCCTCTGTGTGCTTTTCCTTCAATCTCCTAAATTTTCTGCCATTTTATGCAAGCTCTCTCGGTAGTTTTTGCGTTATTTTCTTCCGAGCCCTTGCTTTCAATACCTAAAATCTTCTTCTGCCATCCATTTATTCATGCTCTCTAGGTAGTTGAATCGTTATTTTTCTCTTTCCATCCTGCCCTCACTCTCTAATATTCATTAAACTTTACTGTTATTTGAGTCCCTTAAGCAGAAATATTGATATTGTTAAAAACTTGAAATCTGAATTACTTTGTTACAAGTTGTATTTCTTTAAGATATACATGTACCATCGTTTCCTGCATTTTATTTTGTATTCGTTTGGCTGAGTGTCCTCTAAAAACGTGTGAAAATGGAATTAGAATCACGATTGTCTAATCGAAAAGTGGAGAGCCTTCAATTCGCAGCAGATATTTCACCGCGTTTAATATACTAAGCAGAGATACTCCTGAAAGAATCCTAGACCTATTCCTTTTCGTAAAGAGAATGGAAAGACGAATGTATGTAATTTTTCCAAAGTTATTTCTTATAAGCAACAACTAGGTTTTGACAGGAGTCATTTTTTCTAAGAGCATTCATTTACAATTTACTAAGAGAATACTTTTACTTGACTTAAGAATTTTATTTCTCTCAACGCAGCAGAACCAAAATTCTAACATGTCAACACGAAACTCGAAATTAATAGTTCACTGGGTAGCTAAATAAGATGAAAGAAACATTCTAATATAACGGTGACATTTTAAAAAGATAGTTGAGATGTGTGAAATTATGCAGAATCACCAGATATTCTTTAAAAACAATATACTTTATGGGGAAAATAATTAAAACGCCTTCATACAACTGTATCCAAAAGAAACAAATTAACATATTATCAATAGAAATTAAGGCTATCATGCATACTTATAAAGACTTCTTCTAAGAAAGTATCTCAATGTGTCGTGCCAGACAATTTCTTTTGTCAGAATCCATCTAGCGCATTTATAAATATGCCATTAAATCTTTATTGAATATTTCTGGCATATCTGACCTCGCGTTCCTACTATATATTGCAAGATTCTTCACAAAATCAAAAGAATTGTCTGCAATATTATAGGTCCTGATAATGCATCTTGCTTTCAATCATTTTCCGTTACGTGTCTTTAATCTATCTTTCTTAAAACTATTTTCGTATCAGGTGTACTAATGTGCTTTCTTCCTTGGTATTTCGACTGCATGACTAAACGTACGACTAGATTGGCTGCTAGGTCTCATCATCTTGCTGTTGAAATAGTTAGATATAAGTTGTTTTCTAATAGTTTCCTTTCTCACACTTTAAATCTGTGGACCTCTCTTTCGATTTTTTGCTTGTCTGCTACCTACAATCTTCGAAGATTTAAATGCAACGTTAATCGCAATCGTTTCATTCCTGAATTCTGTTCTTTTATCTTTTCTGTTCACTTATCATGAAAGTCTTATCATTCTTTTCCACTCCCAGTAACTCCTTGCGTCTTAGTGGCATTGTCGTCTAAATTACGCAAAAATGAAAATAACACTGCCATTTCAATTTAACAGATATATTTATCTATATTACACAAAAATATCTTGAAATACTAAAGAGTTAATTTATTTAATAAAATCGCCATTATCTTCGATCCCGGCCTATATACAACTTTCGGAATCTCCTGCATGTTTTATGGACGGCCTCCTTAAGTTGGTGAATGTTGCCATAATCCTTGCCTTCAGTTCATCTTTGCTTGCGGTATGGGAAGTCAGGTGGCAGGATTTAAGGTTGATGTGAAATTGCCTGACAGCTATGATTGGGTTCTCCTAATTGTCTGTCATGGCGCAGAGTCCTGTTCCCAGACATGGAATCTTCCAGCAGCCTCTTCCCTTTTCACCCAGGGTGCCACTACTTCCAGTGTTGAGTCTGAGGCCATCACCGACAAATTCGGGAGTTCTTTTCTTATCAGAACGATTTCCAATTTACCGTACCTTCGCAATCCCCATTAAACTTATCCTACACTGAAATATCGTCACATTTACCCCCAAACACTTTGAAATGTTCTTATTAGAGCTTTCGGCGTGAAAGCCAAGCCGTTTCTAAATTTCTGGTGGAGTGAATTGCGTCATGGTTCTTCTTTTCTCACACACGGTGCCAAACTATATTGTACTGTCGACTAAATAAAAACAACGCACATGCGCGAAGTTAAAAATATAAAATGGTGACAATATCCCCATTGCACCCTTTATATGAGAATGCAACCAACTTAGCGAATCAAAAGGGGTGGAGGAAACTGATTCAAGGTGAACTGTGCAAACGAGTATGATTTCTAGATGCAAAAATAATACCATGTACAAACACCAATATCTATCTTGTAAAAATGCATAAAGTTATCTGGGAGTTTTACATTTAAACTAATCAAATCCAGACCGAAATGTGGATCGGATTGGTTGGTTGATTTAAGGAAATGTCAACGCCTATTGGGTCCTGCAATTCCAATGTTGAAATATGTGTCTTTTATATATCCGTCTATAAGAATTTCCTTGATTCGGTGATAAGTAAATATTGGTAATTTATTTTTGCGCCTATAAGCATTTCCTTTATTCAGTGATAAGTAAATATTTGGCGTTTATATGTAAGTTTATAAGCATTGTTTGGGGATAGGTAAATATTGATCGTTTATATTTGAATCTATAGGCATTTCTTTATTTGCTGATAGGTAAATGGTGGTCGTTTATATGTGTCTGTAA